ATAGGATCAACTTTCAGTAACGAATTAAAAAATGAGAATTAAATCCAACTATTAGGATATGTTGTTAATTTACTCTAAAACTTTAAGCCCTGTTCGAAACTATTGGCTTCTTTAATCGGATTTTAGTTTCTGGACACATTTTTTTCACCGAACATTTTTTTTCTTCCTTTTTTATTTAAAGAAAATTATGAGTTTTTAGTATGGTGCTTTGGTTTTGTTATTGAAACCCAAAACTAAAGTCAGTAAAAAAGTTAAAAACTAATAAAAAGCTAATACAATTGATGAACCAAAATCTGAGGATCATGTATTCAACGCGACAAAAATCTTCAGTTTCCAAACACGTAATTATCTTTATATATATATATATAAAGTCTGATTAAAAAAAATATAAATCAATAATTAATCTAAGCAACCGGTTTTGGTCAATTATAAGGTGAATAAAAACTAAACTGGTCCCTATAATATATTAACTTTTATAATATATATGACTACACTTAATTTAGTCCTGTTAACTTTTATAAAATATGTGAAGACAAAATAAATTCTTTATATTATATAATAATTACTATAGAAATACAAAATTTTCAATAAATATAAAATTGTAAAAATCATATAAATAATGCAAAAAATAATACAGACTTTCTTTTTCTCTTTCTTTTTCTTTTTTATAGAGAAAATATTTTGTGAATAGGATGAATGAAGGCTTTATCAACGTCGAAATGAAATTGAAGTTAAAAAAAAATAAATGAAAAGAAAAATAAGTAACTTGAGAAACTTCCTACACATATTAAACTAAACAATGAAAATAAAAACCTTTAAAGGATTTGGCTTGATTTTGTTCATATTTTTAAAAATTTTAACCTGTGAACTGAATTACGATAAACTATTCTTAAATTTTTGTATCGAAAACCAATCAGTCCCTCAGAAGTTGGAATATCGATAGGGGATGGAATCTTATTTATTTTTGGGTCTAGAAACCTTATTTATTATTAATTATGAGAATATGCTTTTTATGAACTAATATTAGGTTTTGCTAACAAGTATCTTTAGAATATAAAATAAGGATAAAAAATATGTCAATCTTGAGACATTTATTATTAAATTTAATAAATTCTTTTATATATTTCAAAAGAGTTATGCTAGGGATCTCAAATAATCTATTAAATTTTTTACCAAATCTTTCACATGAGTATGAAATCCACACACATGTGGATTTGTGTGTATAACGGAGCATGATGATGGAACATTGATGTTCAAAACTGAAAAGAAAAAAAAAACTTTAAAAATGAAAAAACTGATAATGTTTTCATTTTTAAAATTGAGAAAAACTGATAAGTAAAAGGGCAAAAATATTTAATCTCATACTCTGTTTCTTTTTTATCAGTTAGTTAAACAATTATTTGAAATATTACTATGCAAAATTGATAATGTTCTTAATTTTTAAAATAAAAATTAAAAAAATGATAATATTCTCAACTTTACTAAATAGGACTTGCTGGTTCAAAAAATTTTAGGTACGTAATTACCAAAATAGCACTAATAATAATAATATGGTGAAGCGCGTATTAATATTCATATTGACAGTGTGAATGTTCTATGATATAAACATTCACATTGTTAAATTTATTTAATGTGAATGTTTATATCATTAAATTGTTAAGGGTTCAAAAAATATTTATAAAAATAAAATTGTCCATAAAATACGTTAAATATGAGAATTAGGATTTAATGGATCACATGTCAAAAATAATAGGATTTATTTGGGTTTCTCACATGTTGGTTATCTCAACTTGAGAGAACGTCTGGGCTTGGTAGGTGTATTTCCGAATCTACTTTGGTGATCTGAATGTTCACTTTTTATGACTCGTTGAGTATAATATTCATGTAAAAAATTAAGATGATCGGATATCGATAATTATATATTTGAATCAAATTTGTTTGTTTATTTTTTTTAAAACAAATATGATTAAAACATATAGCTATCAATGTCCAATCATTTTGATTTTTTATATAAATATTTTATTCAATGAGCTTAGCTCTAAAAAGTGAACAATATAAATCATCGAAATCGATCAAAAAATAGGCCTCCCAAACCCAAACGATCTCTCAAGTTGAGATGACAGTATTAGAGAAATTTAACCCAATATCTTAAGGACTAATTGAGATATATACAAGTATTTGAAAGATAATTTTCTAATAAATTCCCCAATCTCTTAATTTAAATTTCTTAAATGACAAATAAAATTTTAATATATCAACACTGAAAAATCTAGAAATTCCCTAGATATTGATTTGTGAGTATGTATCAATTTTAACTAGTAAATAACAATCCCAATCAAATAATCAAGACAAATTGATATAACGATTTTAACGTGGAAAAACCACAATTGGAGCGCCTTCAATTATAATAATAATAAAAAATCATGGGTAAAAGTCATGAAACGTTCCACTAAGAAGACAAAAGGAATTACACAAGTGTACTCTCAATTACCTAGCGAATCTACGCCCGAACTAAGCCGACCTCTATATGCCCCTTCCACCACGGTCTTCATCTCAGAATTGTCTTGCCCAACATTGAATCCACAATGTCGATGTCGAATCTACGACGATGAGCCACTCCATAATCCACCAAAGTTTCAAGTTCAAATTCCACGGAATCCACCAAAGAACAACTCTATCTTTTGTATTGAATCAATAAAACAAACAAACTCATTGATATGATCCACTCAATTCATGATTAATCTCTCACAGATATCAAAGGAAACAAGTAAATAAATTTCAGATAAAAACCCTAATACCCATTAACAAGATTTGGAAGTCGTACCCTAAAATCGGACTGAAAAGCATATTTATAGAAAACAGATCTGCGATCTTCGCTCGAGTGCAAGAATGGCCGCTTGAGCTCAGGAATAGCCACTCGAGCGGAAAAAACAACTCCCAGTACTTTTGCAGGTAGGTGAAACTTTTGAAAGGTCACAATCTCCACTTAAGCGTAGGAATGACCGCTTGAGCGAGCAAATAACTTTGACTGCAATTTTCTTTTTTGCTTCAGGGGCGCTACTCCTCAACCCTGCCTGGGCGCTGCCCCGGACCCGACAAGAGGCACTATCCTCTGGACCCCCGCAAGCTGACTGGGCAGCTCGATTCCCGACATAGTCAGCAAAGTGACAAACATGATAGGATTAAGATCACAAACTCCTCTGTATAGGTATAATTCGGGTTGAATTCGTATCTAAAACTCATAGCCTCACTGAAATAAAAGATCAAATACAATTACAATTAAAAGGAGTTTTGTCAAATAGGATTGCCAAGAATAAAAACCTAACAAATACTATTAATTAATTCAACATCAAAAAATATTAAATATACAAAATTTTACAATTGTTCTCGATGAACTACACGGCTCATTCATAGTTTTGATGGAGTTTGAAACTATTTATTTATTTATTTTTTCAAATTTTGAATCTGAATTTAGCATAAACTATATCTATTTAAAATTATAGGTATTGGTTATTTTGTTTTTTTTTATTTAATGTAAGGATAGTTTTTTATTCAACCATTAATACTTAGAAAATAAAGTGCCACTACAAGAATTAACACTTTTGGCAACAAAAAAATTGGTCGCTAAAAGTCAATTTTTGGTCGGCAAAAGTTATCCGCGACCAAATTTTTTGGTCGCTACTTTGGTCGCCAATTGAGGGTCGGCAAAAGTAATTCGCGACCAAAATTGTGGTTGGTCGGCAAAAGTTAGATTTCGCGACTAAATTTTTGGTCGCTAAATATTTAATTAATGCGACTAATCCATTTTGTCGTTAAAACACTTTGGTCGCGAAAAGTGATATTTTCCCGACCAAAAAGTTTGGTCGCCAATTATCACATTCAACGACCAAAAAGTTTGGTCGCCAATTGTGACATTTCGCGACTAATCAATTGGTCGCCAAAACTATAAAAACAAAACCAAATTTTGGTCGCCAATACCCAACAAAATAAACCTGTAATTTATAATAATTCATCCAATTTATTCAATATAATCTGTAAAAAGAAGAAATCATTCAAACCAACAAATAAATTGAATCATCAACATTCAACAAAATACATATATCAACCATTTCTAAACCTGTTTAATTAAAGTCAGCAACTATTATAAGTTTACATCCGCAAATAATTCGAAACTACATATTTCATCTAGCATAAAAATTAAACACATAACAAGTACTTGTTATTATGTTTTAAATTTTTATCCATGTACATCAACCCAAAAATATAACTAGTTGTCTACCAAATATTTTCTATACACACCCATCCAAAAATATAACTACTAGTCTACCCTAATATTTTCCATATACATCTATACAAAAATATATAATCCTTCCAAAAATGCAAAAAGTGCCAATTTGTCCTGTACAATTTAGCTTTGTGCACGAGTTCATCCATCTGTACCAAAGAAAAAGATAAATAATGTCAGTTAAAATTGGACAAATAATGAAAAATGTCCATGAAAAGCAAAGGTCACATTAGCAAATTAAATGACTACCATTATCAAATTGTAAATAAAACAATAGCATTCTTATGTCTATAGAATAAATTGGATGAGCCACCATTCCAGATCCAATATAATGCCACACAGCAGAAACCAAACACGGCAACTGAAATTGATCCATATTGTCAATAACTCCTATCTTCCTATCTTCCTATCCATATTGTCAATAAATTGGACAAATAATTCCCTTTACCAAGTTCACCAATTCTCAAAAAATCAGGTGGGTACTAATTTGTACATTTTAACAATTTCGTTCCTATCTTTAGTTGGATGTTGTCAAGATTGCCCCTATTCGTCAAATGATTTTCAACTCTAAAGTTTGACAAATTTTAAGAGTGCCAGACTGGAGCAAAGTTGCAGCACCATAAGAACTTGTCGACTAAAGTTAAGCCTCAACACCACAATATGGTTTTAACTACTTAGCAGAGGTAAATTACGGGTTGTTTAGCAGCAAATTGTTAAAGTCCATACAACACATTTTTTTCCTATATAAATCATGGCAAGGATTCCAATTTCTTGGATTGGACATTATCATTTTCACAAGTCTACTGACATCATAATAGAATTAAAATATTTGAGAATATTGTGGAGGTATCCATTTCAAGAGGAACAGCAAAACGCACAAGAGAAAATTGAGGATTTCAACAACTGATTTTAGGTACATGGGTAGACGGACTAATAAGCAAGTGGTTTCAGATTTTTCCAGTGCAACCAGCCAAACTGTTTAAGCTTCAAATGCCATCATATATGACAACATGGTTCCAGTTATCATATGCTTTCTTCACCAAGGTATCCACATATAACTGCAACAACAAAATTTACAGGTTTCCATAAGCATCACATTCTCTAATTATGAGCTTTATGACAACCTTCCAGGGGTGGTACCAGGAGAAAAGGAAAAAAGAACAACAATTAGTAATAGTAAGCACTCCAATTCTAGTTTGGTTGATTAGTTTGTTTGAAGAAAAGAAACACCCAAAATCACACCTAAACATATATACCTGCCTGTGATTAACATTTCCAATCAAAGATTAGATTTAAGGATAAGTATTTTACTCAGAACTTGATCAAATATACAATCAACATGTTTACCAACCCGGTCCAAAAGTGAACAAACGCTGGCAGCGGAAGGGAGGGGTGTAAAGTGTCTACTGAATTCATGGCATTATTATTTGGTTTCAAGGAAGTGTTTTAATAAAACAAGAATTGCATTGCCAAAAAAAACGTCTCATACTAACCTTCTGGCTATCAGACAGGGAATCAGATAACAAATATTGTTCACCAGTTATAAGGCCACTTAGCTCGTAAATACTGTTAAAGACAACACCAACATTTCTTGTATCATCAGCATAATACACATAAAGCTTCCCACTCATGGCACAAGTCTTAGCATGTTCTATGAGAGCATCCCACATCTTATTTGACATACCACTGCTAAGGATCTACAACCAACAGAGGAGTCAGCAGACAATTATAAAGAATGGATACTCTTATTCAACAACCAAGCATGCACTTACAGTCCGTAGTTTTTGAGAGTCTCTGACAACAAGTCGAACAAAGTCTTCAACCGTGAATATTCCTGACTTATTTAGCCTCTTGTGGAATGACCCATCTTTGCCAATCTTTTCCAATCTCCAGACATCATCATTTAAAGCAGGTGAATAGTGCTTCTTGTATACTGTAAATGAAAAGAAGTCAACAACAATATTCCAAAGACAATCCAGAAAAAATAATTTTAAAAAGGAGTTCAAAAATAAACACTAAGCAGCTTACATTCCCCTCTGTGATCTTTAACAGTGAAAGCTTCTGTCTTTGCCTCACCTACACGTATGCCCTCACAAAAGCCTGAGGCGACCTTCAGGCCAAGCCTGAACTTCTTGCTCCTTATCCAACTTGAGTTATCAGTAAATGTAAGCTCTCCCAGGGTTCCCACACCTTCTTTGAGCGTCACTTGCAGATCCCCAGTCAAAAGTGGTCTCTTTCCTTCACGCTCTTTCACAACATGGCTTTCAAATTCTTCTTCGGTCCAACCCTCATCATCTTCATTGTTGAAATCACCTTCCAGCACAACAACATCAAGTTTTATGGTGGATTCAGGTCCAGACCATGTACATCAACCCAAAAATATAACTAGTAGTCTACCAAATATTTTCTATACACACCCATCCAAAAATATAACTAGTAGTGTATCCAAAAATATAACTACTAGTCTACCTAATATTTTCCATATACATCTATACAAAAATATATAATCCTTCCAAAAACTCAAAAAGTGCCAATTTGTCCTGTATAATTTAGCTTTGTGCACGAGTTCATCCATCTCTCTCACCAATTGATTCCTTACAAGAGGAGACCCTTGAAAAAGAGTTTCAAATTAAAATTTTCTTATATTCTTATATTATATATATATATATATATATAAAATAAGAAAGAAAGAAACGAAATAAAAAAAAACAAAGAAAAAATTAAAAAAAAAAATTTGAAACCGGTCCGGTTCGATCAACCCGTGACCGGGTCGACCGGTTCACCGGTTTAACCGGTGGGTTCACTGGTTTTCAATAAATAGGCCGGTTTTTACAATTGGCCGGTTTAAGGGGGCTGATCGGACCGGAACCCCATCCGGTCACCGGTTGAACCGGCCGGTCCGGTCCGGTTTTTAAAACCATGCTTACTATGTGATGCGCGTAAGCACGTATAGACTACGTCGCAAGAATTGGAACATTTCAAGTCATGTTTGTTTGCAAAAATGGTTTGAATTTGCCACCCTCAAATGGTCTTAAAAGATGCGGATTTGCCACCAAACAAAGTGGGCTTAAAACATGATTTGCCATAACAAAGTGGACTTAAAACATGATTTGCCACAACAAAGTGGGCTTAAAACTCACATTCGTTGAATTGTTCCAATTCAAACAACAAGCCTTCATCCACAAGCATTCATGCAGTTTAGCATTTAAGCGCATAGCCTCATAGCAAGCATGCGAAACATGGCAATATGGTAATCACACTCATGCAAGTATGCTAAAGCATAAAACTCACCAAGTACTCCGAGTTAAGAAAACATGAGTTAGAAAAATGTGTATGGTTCCTAACTATACAAGATGTCTAATGCAACACATGCAATATGCAATCAATAGGATCGGCTCCTAATATGGCATATGATTTGATTTGATAACATGCGGTTAAACACGTATTCAAATAAGTATTGAAATAACAATGCAGTTAGAATGATGCGCCGAGCCTTGGTGCATGCGAATGAATGGATGTAAGTATAAGGTATGCTAATCAAAACATGATCCCTAATCTAACCATAAAAAGCGATTAAATAAAAGGGAGAAAGACGTGGGGTTGGAAGGCATACACACACACGCGCACACTTATTACAACATTACGCCCTCGCGAAGGAGGGTCTGAATGAATAAGCTAACTAACTAGCTACGCTAATTGAGCTAACTAATTATTACACAATTGAAACAAATTAACTAACTTATTCTAAGCTAATTAAATATTACAAATTGAATTAATTAGCTAAATACTAAGGTAACTAATTACAAAGCAATTAAGCTAATTAATTACAACATGAATTAACTAAACAAAGCAATTAAATGGCCTCGGGAAGCGAGGGATGCATGCATGCTCGGTTTCTCCACCTGAAAAGCCACCGCCTTGCCATTGAACGCCTCTGTTTGCACATATTTGAACACCAACAGTGCTGCTAACTTCCAGAACACCTCTGCTTCCCTTTTCCATCACACAGAGTAACTTCCTTCATTGATGACCGGTCAGCTACCAATGGTGGCCGTCGGCCATTGGTGGTGGCTGGTTAGCCATTGGTGGTGGTTGGTCGGCCACCCCTGCCCTGAACTTCTTTTTGCTGTAACAGAGAGCAAACAGAGGCAAAGCAGTGTATTCTCAAGGAGTGTTTGTACTGTTATGCTCCTTATCATTACACAAGTTCAAAGGAGTGTAACTCTTGGCCCTCAAACCACCAATCAAGCAATTTCCATGCATGATAACCAAAGAACCAAGTTTGTACAAGCTTAATAAATGCATAAACAAGACCAAAACAACCACCACCCTATCATGCATGATTAAGGGTGATGGTGATCCAGGAAAGTGGCACATTTCATTATTTTTGAGTATGAAATGTCTCATTTTCCTTATGTTCGAATTAACGTCTGATTCGAACACATGCAATGCAACACGAAAGATACTTATCTTGCCTCTTTTAATTGTCCAATTTGTTTATTCATTTTAAATTACCAATTCATTCTTTAATCGATTTGTCCATTGGTGAGTGTCCTCTAAAGGAAAGATGGCTCAAACCATAAGCAGCTTTGGGCATGAAAGAGGCATTACACTGTTGATAATGAACCCTCTAAGAGATTAAACCATTAGGTGTAGCACCTCAATTTCACACTTAGGCAAACAAGTGGTTTAAAACCACTTTCAAAGAAAATAAAAAAGTGAAGAATTGAGGGAGATTGCAGAGATTAAAGTGCTGAAATGAAGTGCAAAACAACACTAAAACATGCTTTCAACTCAAAACAATGGTGATCAAAGCATTAAAACAGTAAGCTAGTGAAGGAGTTAACACTACAACTATACAATACAAGCCTCAACTGAACTAACCAGCCCAAAACAGAGCCAAAACAGGTCAAAACAGAGGCAAAAACATGCTAGACTAGAGCTAAGGTAAGCTAGAAAAGCATGCTAACTCATGAAGTTAAGTAGGCATGCAAACATGACACAAGGAGGGGAGACTAACCCCTCCAATTTTGGACAAAAGTTGGTTTTTACCACTGAAAAATCTCTAAGATTCAATGGTTAAAAGGCCCAAAAAAGTTGTTTTCAAAGTGATGAAAAATAGCTCAAAAAGCTTAACAAGCTAAGAAGCAAAAGGAATGGACAACCCCCTAACTCAAAAGGGCTCAAACCACCACTTTTAGGTCACCAAAACAGAACTTTTTGCATTCCAAAACCAGCCCCAAAATAGTAGAAAAAAGATGACAAAGTAAGTATTGAAAGCAACTTAAATAACGAGTGTTATACCTCTTGAAGCTAAGGCACAAAATAGGCAACATTCCAAGCCACAAACACCTTTTAGAGCTCAAAGAGGGTCCCAAGTAACCTTAGCCCAAAGATAAGCAATTTTGGTTAAGCGTTGATAGGCAAACTAGAAGTATATCTCTACTTGTATGCACAAAAGGGCAAGAGAGAGAGAGAGAGAAATTTAGAGAGAGAGGATTGTAGAGAGAGAGGCTCCCAAAATTTATAACCTTGAAAACAATAGAGAAGGTCCTTTATATATAGAAAAATGAGAGCTCAGGTCGAAAATATCTCAAAATGGGACAGCTGGAGTAGTGTAGAACTACTGGAGGGAAAATATCTACAAAATATCTGATTTTTGCACCAATGATGGCCGAAAAAACTCACTGGTGGCTGACAAGCAAAAACTGGTTTCTGGCTTCGACTTCAAACATGCATATCTCCTTCATCTGGATTCCTTTGCAGGTCATTCTTGAGTCTAAATTGAATCCTCGGAAGTCGTCTTTCCAATGGTGGTAGCCTCACATAAAAATTCCAAGTGTGAAAAAAATATGCCTCTTTTAGTGAAGACTGCTCAGTTTTGGTCCTAATTGGATTGATGCTCAACTTCAACCAGCCATATCTCCCTCATACATACTCGGCTTTAGGAGATTCTTGAGTGTAAAATGAAGCCCTGGAAGTCCACTTTTCAATGGTGGTGTCCTCATAGCTGAAATCCAAGTGTATAAAAGGATAGGCCTAATTTAGTGAAGTTGCCCAGTCCTCTCTTAACAGTTTATGCCCAACTTCTTCCCCAACTAGGTTTCTTCCCTCTCCTCCAATTTCCTTCAACTCCAAACCTTCAAATAAGATCTTTTGAAGATTTTTTCAAAGAGTTCACCTCTCTTCCATTTATTTCCACTTTGTCCTTGCTCGGTTTACTAAAAAGTGCAACATTTAATGAAATGTGAGCCTCGGAACATTGTAGAATCATTTTTAAAAACATTTTGAAAGAGAGGGTTTTAAGGTCTAAAAATCATTTCGGTCAAAATAGTTTTGGTCCAAAATGGGGTGTAAGGTTGGGATTTGAAGCTCCTCTTACTGAAGAAATCGAACATTTGCATAGCATAGCCTTCATCACCGAGTGATCAACCTAAGGCCCCCAAGTCTTAAGGGCGGTCAAAAATGGGGTGTCTACAGGACAGTGAAAGTGCGAGTCTAGGTGGGCCTATCGGAGCAAGAGATCGAGTTCCATATACTTGATATGTCGGCTACCTTTAACCTGCTGTTAGGGAGGGCTTGGTTACATCACATAAAGACTGTATCCTCCAGCCTCCATCAAATGCTGAAGTACCCTCATGAGGAAAGAGTAGCAACCGTTTTTAGGAACTCATCCATCCATCCATCCATCGCCTACACCATTGCTAGAGATAAATCATGGTGATGAGGATGTATTCCTCTCAGGATTCACTCTGGCGGAAGCCCAAGTAGTGTAGACAATCCTAGCCGTAGACGAAGGTATGTACGTCAGTGCCCAGTCTATCTACTTTATGAACAAGCTGCGGCATATTCCAAGAATGGGGCTCAGAAGGAGCAGACAAAAAGGTGTTGCAGCATTAGCCGAGGTGCTACATAACCCGCATGCTTTTGGGTTGGGCTATGTGCCCACCAAAGAGGACTGGATAAGAAAGGGAGAAAAAAATGAGGGATATAACTACGGCCAAAAGGGTTGGGAAGCACTATGAGTTGGTCCACAGGCTAATTCGGGGGACGTTGAATGGGCATTTTGTTAAAGAGGGAGAGGATTTCTCATTTTGTGGCTTTCCCGAGCCTTGGGTGAATTCCTCGAAAAAACGTGTCCCCAGATTCGATCATCAATTTCAAGATAGTGATGAAGAAAGGGCTGAACCAAGCGTTAACACTGACCAAAGCACGGAAGATGACTCAGGCAACAACGAGGCTAAAGTAGAGACAACACTGGCCGATCTCTTGACAGATCCTGTGACCAACATAAAGAACTTGGAGGATAACTTTACTGTTTCTATGATCGAGGAGGAACTAGGTGTGTACCCAACCAGTGGCATTTTG